TAGCTCTTCTTTAAAGGTCTTGTAGAACTCAGCTGTGTATCATCCAGTCCTGGGCTTTTCTTGGTTGGTAGGCTTTTGATGGTGTCCTGTATTTCCTTGCTTGAACTTGATCTGTTTAAATTGTGTATATCATCCTGATTTAGTTTGGCATATCATATGCCTCCAGAAATTTGTTGACGCCTTTGATATTTTCTATTTTTTGGAGTACAGATTTTCAAAATAATTTCTAGTTATCTTCTGTATTTCTGTAGTGTCTGTCATGATTTTTCCCTTTTCATCACGGATATTAGTAATTTGAGTTTTCTCTCTCCTTCTCTTTATTAGCATGGCTAACAGTTTATCAATTTTATTTATTTTTTTCAAAGAACCAACTGTTTGTCAGTTTTTTCAGTTGTTTCATTTTCATTGATTTCAGCTCTTATTTCAATTATTTCCTGTCTTCTACTGCTTTGGGGGTTGATTTGTTATTCTTTTTCTAAGGCTTTGAGATGTAATGTTAGGTCATATATTTTTTGACTTTTTCTTCTTTGAAGGAATGAACTCCACACAATGAAATTTCTCTTAGAACTGCCTTCATAGTGTCCCAGAGATTTCAATATGTTGTATCAGTGTTCTCATTTACCTCTAAAAATTTTTTAATTTCCTCCTTGATATCTTTTGCAACCCATTGTTCATTCAATAGCATAGTATTTAGTCTGCAGGTGTTGGAATAGCTTTTATTTTTTGTTTTAGCATTGATTTCTAATTTCATTCCATTATACTCTGATAAGAATGCAGGGTAGTATCTCTACTTTTTTGTATTTACTAAGAGTTGCTTTGTGGCATAATATATGGTCTATTTTAGAGAAGGATCCATGTGCTACTGAGAAGAAAATGTATTCGCTCGTTGATAAATAAAATGTTTTATATATGTCTTAAGTCTAAGTTATTTATTGTATTATTTAGTTCTACAATTTCTTTGTTTAGCTTTTGTTTGGAAGATCTATCCAGTGGTGAAAGAGGTGTGTTAAAGTCACCCAGAATTATTGTGTTGTAGTCTGTTTGATTCCTGAACTTGAGAAAATTTGATTGATGAACATAGATGCTCCATTGTTTGGGGCATACATATTTATAACTGTTATGTCTTGTTGATGTATGGTTCCCTCAAGTAGTATAAAATGTTCATCTTTATCCCTTTTGATTAACTTTGGCTTGAAGTCTACTTTATTTGATTTGAGGGTGGAAACCCCTGCTTGTTTACGTAGACCATGTAAATGGTGTATTTTATCCCAACCTTTCACCTTCAGTCTGTTGACATCTTTTCCTATGAGGTGAGTCTCTTGCAGGCAGCATATTGTTGGGTCTTTTTTAATCCAATCTGCCAGTCTATGTCTTTTGATTGGTGAGTCTAGGCCATTAACATTCAGGGTTATTATTGAGACCTGATTTGTATTTTTGGTCATTTTGTTTATTTTTGGTATTTAACTTGACTTGGTTTCTCCTTTGGTTGGCTTTTCCTTTGTTGTAGTTCTTCCCTTTGCAGATTTTCATTGTTGTTTTTTTATTTCCTCCTCCTGGAATATTTTGCCAAGAATGTTCTGTAGTGCAGGCTTTCTTGTTATAAATTCTTTTAGCTTTTGTTTAGAACAGAAGGTTTTTATTTCATTATCAAATCTGAAGCTTAATTTTTCTGGATATAAGATTCTTAGTTGGCATCCATTATATTTCAGAGCTTGGTGTATGTTGTTCCAGGATCTCTGGCTTTGAGAGTCTGGGTTGAAGAATCTGCTGAGACCTGAATTGGTCTTTCCTTATAGGTAATCTGATTTTTTTTTCTCTTGTGGCCTTTAAAATTCTATCCTTATTCTTTATGCTAGGCATTTTTATTATAATGTGTCTTGTTGTAGATCTGTTGTTATTTTGTACATTTGGTGTCTTATAGGCCTCTTGTATTTGATTTTTCAATTCATTCTTCATGCTTGGGAAATTTTGTGATGTTATTTCATTGAAGAGACTGTGCATTCTTTTGGTTTGAATCTCTGAACCTTCCTCTATCCTAATAAATCTTAAATTTGGTGTTTTGATGCTATCCCATAATTCTTGAATGTTCTCTTCATTGTTTCTTACCATCTTCATTGTGAGGTCAGCTTTATTTTCAAGATTGTGTATTTTGTCTTCATTGTCTGAGGTCCTGTCTTCCAAGTGATCTAGTATGTTGGTGATGCTTTCTATTGAGTTTTTTATTTGGCTTATTGTTTCTTTCATTTCATGAATTTCTGTTGTTGTTGTTTTTCCCCAGAATCTCTCTTTCTTGAAGTAATCTCTTGCTACCTGTCTTTGTTCTCTTATCTCTTTGTTGGTGTGATTGATGGTTGCCTGTATTTGTTCTCTTATCTCTTTGTTGGATTGATTGATTTTTGCCTGTATCTGCTCATTTAGGTCATTCTTTAATTCCCAGATCATTTTAGTTATGAATATTCTGAACTCCTTCTCTGGCATTTCATCTACTGTGCTATCTATGGATTCTATTGTTGTAGTATTTTGCTTTGTTTGGGGCACTTTCCTCCCTTGGTTTTTCATGATGTCTCTGTGTGTTCCTCTCTTGCAGTATAGATCTGAGGTATTACAGCTTTGCCCTATTGTCTTATAATGTCCCTGCAGGTTACCAATACCTCACCTTTAAGGGGGAGATTAACATTACAGCACTCAATTAACCCAATGTGCAACCATAGATCCGTTAGTTTCTATTTTTACATTTACAGTTTTGTTGCTATAATCAGAAATGATGAGTTTGGTTATCTTCTACCATATAGTTGATGGGTTTGCATAATGGTTTACAGTTTCTAATGGTAGAAGTGGTGGCTTGGGGGTGGGCTGAGATGTTTGTGAGGTAGGATGTTAGTAGGAGAAACAAGAGAGAGGCAACCCCATGCAAGACTCCCTGTTACCTTAGCAACAGGATAACTGTTAGCACCCCTAGTAAAGATACCTCTGGTGCAGCCAGGCTCACAGGGACCTTGGTGACATCTTACCAGGTCCTTATTGTTGTCCCTTGATAGAAGCCATGATATGCCAGTTTTGTGGCAGTGGCAGCTTCAAGCCTGTATGTACCCTGATGTTGAGCCGTGGAGCCACACTTTGGTGAATAAGGAACCCCAGCTCAGGCTGGGCCTCTCTCTGGGTCACCAGGCCGCGTGGAGCTGCAGAGCTTCTAATATGATCTAACTCATTTTTATATCTATGTCTCCCTACTCCTGTCCTCAGGGTCTCACTTAGTGCCCTCTTTTGTGGCTCTATAATGCCTTTTAAAGATGAAGTGAGAATCTTGGAACTGAAGGCATCGAAGAAGGCACCAGTCAGCAAGAATACATTTTGAAAATTTGGTTCATGTAGATAAATGACTGAAGGTGTTAGGTATCAGATGAGAAGTTATGGAATTTTAGAATAGGAGTGAACCTGAGATCATTTGGTCTGATCCCTTCATTCCATATTTTAACTCAGAGAGTGACTGGCTTGAGATCACAGAGTTAGCTGGTCCATGTCAGGGACAGAGCCGAAGCTTCTGAGGCTTTTCCCGTGACAGCAGCTTCCTCATAAGGTCATTTGTGGCTTACCGAAATTGCTACAGGTAGAGCAGATTCAAGTTTGATTTTAAGATGCAGTTTTTGGATAGGGAGTCTTTTGTGACAGTTTCGAGTGAACTTTTTCTACTTTTTTTTTTTTTTTTTGTTTGAGAACTTTGTTAAGCTATGATGATGGGTTCTGCTGGTGTCTTCCGGGACAGCCTATTATCATTTGCATCATTTAATGGCTTGTTATTCAGGCAAACTCAATAAAGCACTTAGGAGATTAGAGAATTGCAGCTGGAATAAATAACAAGGCAAGGTGCCCATTTCTACATGGTGTGTTGGATGCCAGTGATGATACTGCAGTAAAAGGCAGATAGGATCAGACAGGCTGCTGGAGTTTTAGAGATCTGCCTTGTCTATGACTAAACAGATTCAGAGAGAATCATGGACAAGAGTTAAACAAATAACCAAATCAAACCAAACTGACCAACCAAATAACAACAAAAAACAGGGTAATCCAAACCCAGCAGTTTTGGGATATTATTAGTGTAAGGCATATATATACTTGAAAGCATCATGAATTATCCTTATTTATATTTTATCCTTGAATTTACATAGTTTTGCAAAATTAAGAATTAAGTAAGTGCGATCTTTATTCTTCTTTTATTTTGCAAATAGTTTTGGATTTGTATAATTTTGACACCCTTAATGTCCCTGTCTTTGAGATGGGCAATATCAGGGTACAAGTGTTTTCTGGACCTAGAATTAACAGGTGATGGAGGAGCATGTGATGAAAACAAGCAAGAGTTTGAACAAACCATTGTCTCATGTCATGGGGTCACATACTCATCAGGGAGAGGGTTCTACTTGCTCTTTCAATTTGACCTTTACTTGTTTGTAGCACATTCCCCTTTTGCAGTTACTTATCTGGTTTTGTGATTATTTATTCCATATCTGTTAACCTTGTATAATTCCTGAGGACAGGCCTTGTATCTATCTTGTTCACCTCTGTATTCCCACCTCCTCTTACAGTGTCTTGCACATGTCAAGTGCTTAATAAATATTTGTTGACTGAGTAAAGAGATGAATGCAGGAAGGAAAGTTTGCCTTCTGGATTTTAGGATAAACATAAGTGGGAGTGTAGAGGTAAATTGCATATGCCTCCGAATAGAATTTTTGGGTTCAGCAACCAGCCATCCCACTTTGGACAATATGGTTTTGGGCAACTCTTTTCTTCTCTCTGTGCTTTTGTTTTCTCATGTATAAAATGTGATTATAATTCCAAGCTCACAGGGTTGTTGTAAGGATTTTTAAATGAGTTAGTCCAGGTAAAGCACTTAGCATACAGGACTGGCAATAATAAATGCCCAAGAAATACTGCTTCCTATTATTAGTAGCCATTTTTTAGCTTATGAGAGACTTTTGAAGCTGTTTATTTTTCTTTCCTTGAAGCTTTTGGATTGCTTTGGGATTCCTGTGTTGATGGCTCTCTCGTGGTTTATTCTTCGTGCAAGATACAGAGTGATCCACTTCATTGCTGTGTTTGTCTGTCTGTTGGGGGTAGGAACCATGGTTGGTGCAGACATCTTAGCTGGGAGGGACGACAACTCAGGTAAGAACTTGTGTGTTATTTCTTTGTGGTTCAGTCACAGAAAAGTTTTGCTCATGTTAGCACTTTTAGTTTTGCAAAGATGCAGTCAAAGGCAGTAAACATGTCCTGGTTAACTATCTTTTACATTTTATTTTCAGCTGTACTTGTTTCTGGTGTTTTGTAACTGTTTTCACAAAACAATCTTCCTGTTCCTACTGGCCCACAGTCCTTCCCTGCTCTTTTTTTTTTTTTTTTTCTTCTCAGTAAATAGTTTCTGGTTTTGTCTCATGAGAGAGTCGTTTCTTTGTATATTTGCAATCATCTTCTTTTGGTATGAACATTTAGATTAGTTACTGAAAAATCTATTGTAGAGTCTTCTTGTTTTTCTATTTTTATCAAAAATGAGACTTGGTGTTCTCTGGTGACATCTAAAGTCACTGTAGATGACTTTGGTGAAATTTAGACTTTGTGTCAGATTTAGACAAGAGCATTTCCATGCTTCCTGCCCTGTGGTTTTTAATATATCCCCTTCCACAAATTCCATGAGTTTGTCAAGTTATAGAATCACTTTCTGAGGCCTCATATTATGGAATATAATATTATTTTCCAGTTATTGAGGAGTAAAAATATGAAAACTTTGCCATATAGTGAGAATTGTATGAACTTCTAGAAACCAGGGTTAAATAAAAATCTTACTTAAATGAACAGGAATCAGGTAAACCCCTAGTTCACTTATTGACAATATATTCCTCTTTGTGTCTTGCCTGCCTGTAGGGAGTGACGTGCTGATTGGTGACCTCTTGGTCCTGCTTGGAGCTTCCCTCTATGCCGTTTCTAATGTGTGTGAAGAATACATTGTGAAGAAGCTGAGCAGACAGGAATTTTTAGGAATGGTGGGCTTATTTGGAACAATTATCAGTGGCATACAGCTGTAAGTGTCTAAGATTTTTCTTAAGAACGAACTAAGCAAATATATCAGAGATTGCTTTCTAACTACTAATATTCATTTGTTCGGTTAAGCCCAAATTCACTTCTGAAATAGAAAGCTGATAAAGATTTGTTAGAGGATTGTTAAACATCAATATTATTATATTTTATTTTCTTATGCATGTGGGATTCCATAGGATTCCTGACTACAATGTTGTGGAGGCCTTGCCAGTAAGAACTTTTTCTTTTAAAATTATTTTCAAAAAAATGTTAACACATTAACTTTCTAATCTTGTTCAAGGGAAAGGAGTATGCCATGTTTTCCTTCTATAGCTGACTGCTGTTGAAGAACACTTGCAAGGGAGTCTCACATATCATTTTTTTTTGGTGGTGGTGGGGTACCAGGAATTGAACCCAGGGGTGCTTAACCACTGAGCCACATCCCCAGCCCTTTTTAATATTTTTATTTAGAGACAGGGCCTCACTGAGTTGCTTAGGGCCTTGCTAAGTTGCTGAGGCTGGCTTTGAGCTCGCAATCCTCCTGCCTCAGCCTTTTGAGCAGCTGTGATTACAGGTGTGTGCCAATGTACCTGGCTGAGTCTGACATATCTTTATGGACTCCTTTGGTTTTATTCTTTGTCATTTTTATTGAAGATAATTATTTCCTACGAAAAATTCAAAAGTCAACATAATTCCTTACTTTTGCTGAAGTATAGCAACTAAACTACTTATGAAATAGTAAAAATTAATATGCAACCTCTTGTTTTTATCTTAGATTGATTGTGGAATATAAGGATATTGCCAGCATTCACTGGGACTGGAAAATTGGTATGTAAATAAATAATAATTTTGTTATCTGTGTTCTATCCCCAACTGACGAAAGGCACACCAAAAAACAAATGCTTCATTTTAATAATATTTATATGTCTTTGTAAAATCACACTGATGATAGAGATTTACATTGAGTTTTCTCTGAGAATTGGTAGATGAACCCTTATAAAATTAATTTTTAACTCCAGGAATAGCTTTAAAAAAAAAACAAACTATGAATTCTGAACAAGACTGATGACTGAACTTCGTCACACTAGCTTTCAGTTAGATCTGTATTTAGGTCCTCCAACGTGTGAAGGTTGCCATCTGCTTGTTGTAATTTGTGAAGCATTAACTGGAAGCATCGAAGGTTGTGTAATCACTCACCACCTCTGGTTGCTCCTCTCATCTGACATTGCTAGGTTTCTGCACAAAAATAAAACTGAAGAAAATGTTAAGAGAGTGAAGAAAGATTTGAGCCGTATTTTTTTTTTATTGGTTGTTCAAAACATTACAAAGTTGAGCCGTATTTAATGATGGGTGGAAAGAAGTTAAACAGTACATAAATGTCACTGACGATTATGTACCATGCTTGAATAACTTGATTCAATTAAATAACAGAGAGAAGAGAGAGAGAGAAAGAGAGAAAATGAATATATGTATATATTTGCACTGAGCTTAGCACAAGGTTAAAGAAGTAGATACAAAGCGGAAACATTGCTATTGTGACTAGCACTGTCCCAAAGAGGATAGTTATATCGTGCTGTCTTGGAGCATTTAATTTAATGTGATGTACAAAATACAAAGATCTCATATCTGTCTTGGATGTTCTAAAAATACTTTTTTCTGAATCCAGTTATACAAACCATACCCTAGTGACCAAACAAATAAAAGGAACAAAAGATAATGAGTGATTTCTCTTGACACATGACATTGAGTCTGTTTTTATTGACTTTTTATCACAGAATCATTTGCCCTGGGAGGGTGGATAGAATAGCAGAGGGTGATAAGAGCTGTTAACTCAGTCACACTATAAGCAAGATATTATGGTCTTCATCATCCAACACCCTATTAGATTTTTAAGGTTTGTCATCTACATCACAGCTTGGTATTTTGTTATTATTTTCCAGAGAACTTTGTAGTCACATTTGCAGTACTACCATTAGGAGAAGCTTTGTAGATAGTGTGTTAAAGGATCAGGGAGTTTTATATGGCAGCCAAGCTTAAGCCACTTTGTCTTGTGATTTCTCCCCATAATATTAGATATTCCATTTTTCCACAGCCCTGCTATTTGTGGCATTTGCTCTCTGTATGTTTTGCCTATACAGCTTCATGCCATTGGTGATTAAAGTCACTAGTGCCACCTCTGTCAACTTGGGCATCCTGACAGCTGATCTCTACAGCCTTTTCTTTGGACTCTTTCTGTTTGGTTATAAGGTAAGAAAATAGATCATGTTCAAATAAGAACACTTACCTGGTGGAAAAGAAGTTTCTTTAAGCAGGTTTCTTTAAACTCTCTATCCAAAAATAAAACCTCATCCTTTTGACAAGGATTTCACTGGACAAGCCTAACTCCTTTTGTTTCCAAATTAGAAAATCAGTCCAAATAAGAATCGCCCTTCTGGAGTTATTCTAAAGGGCGAAATGCAGTGCACTTTGTTTTTGATTTAGCCAAGAACACTAGGTTTTGGAAATGCTAATATGTGTTGCCAGGTGATAACCAAACAATCGGAGAGAGATGTTATTGACCTTGCAAACTAGACTGAGCACTTGGGGCTTTTCTCTTCACTCTTTGCCCAGATATAGAGTCTGCAACACCTGATGGAAAGGAAGGAGGAAAAGGTACATTATCACGAGTGTGTGATTGCAATGGATTCCTCTTTGGCAGTAATCTTGTATCATAAGGGACCTAAAAGGTAGTTCAGTCCAGTGGTTTTTCAGATTTTTTTCTGTCTCCAGAGCATCACAGCACACCATAAGCATAACCCACTCCCATCATTAATAGTTTCTGCTAAATGCACTAATGATCAAGGGGAATAGGGTGGGAGGAAATAAATCAGCGTCCTCAGGGGAAGCAAGAGAATGAATATGTAATTTGAAAAAATTGTATCCTCAGTCTGGACCACCCTCTCTCGAGAATTACTGATTATATTATTTATTTTAGAGATGGGAAACAAAGGCCCAGGGAAGTTATATGTAGTTAAGTTGGTTAGCCTTAGTGAGCAAGGCTTTACCACTGGTTAGTGGTGAAGTCATGACCAAATCTTAAGTTGTCATCCTCTTCTTTCTCTTCTAGCAATCCAATTTTCTTTTCACTGAACTTCCTACCCCCCTATTTTAATTTATAAAATGAGAATGTCAAGTTAATGAATTCATCATGTTGTCTCATACAACAGAGAGAACCAAATAAGTAAATATTTTTTCGACTTCACAGCCTATTTGAGAACTCTTAGGGCAGCATTTTCCATACTTTTTGATCTCAGGACACTTTGAAATGCTTAAAAATTGAGGGCTCAAGTCACTATTCCCTATTATTTATCATATTGGAAATTAAAGCTGAGAAATTTAAAAATATTCATTTATTAACATATTGAGAAAACAATAAACTCATATAGTACATAATAGCATAAATAATATTTTTATGAAAAATTATGTTGTCTAAGATTTAAAAAAAATGAAATTGATTTACATTTTTTAAAGATTAGTATATCTTATTTTTTAGTTGTAGATGGACACAATACCTTTATTTTATTTTTCATTTTTATGTATTTTGTATTTTTTATTCTAATTTGTTATATATGACAGCAGAATGCATTGCAATTTATATTACACAAATAGAGCACAATTTTTCATATCTCTGGTTGTATACAAAGTATATTCACACCATTCATGTCTTCATATGTGTAATTAGGATAATGATGTACATCTCATTCCACCATCTTTTTTACCCCCATGACCCCTCCCTTCCTCCCCATCTTTTTGCCGTATCTAGAATTTGTCTAATCATCCCATGCTCCCCCTCCCAACCCCAATATGAATCAGTCTCCTTATATCAAAAAAAAAAAAAAAAATTCTGCATTTGTTTTTTTGGGGGTTGGCTTACTTCACTTAGCATTGTATTCTCCAACTCCATCCTTTATCTGATTTTATTCTCTTATTGCCTAGTAATTCCATTGTGAATATATACCACATTTTCTTTATCCATTCATCTACTGAAGGGTATCTAAGTTGGTTCCACAATTTAGCTATTGTGAATTGTGCTGCTATAGACATTGATGTGGCTGTGTCCCTGTACTATGCTGTTTTTAAGTCCTTTGGATATAGACCAAGAAGTGGGATACCTGGGTCAAATGCTGGTTCCATTCCCAGTTTTCCAAGAAATCTCTATACTGCTTTCCATTTTGGCTGCACCAATTTGCAGTCCCATCAGCAATGAACGAGTGTGCCTTTTCCCCCACATCCTCGCCAACACTTATTGTTGTTTATATTCTCTTTTTTTAAAAATATTTAAATATTTATTTATTTGGCGGACACAACATCTTTGTTTGTATGTGGTGCTGAGGATCGAACCCGGGCCACACGCATGCCAGGCGAGCGCGCTACCGCTTGCGCCACATCCCCAGCCCTGTTGCTTATATTCTTAATAGCTGCCATTCTTACTGGAGTTGAAATCTTAGAGTAGTTTTGATTTGCATTTCTCTAATTGCTAGAGATGTTGAACATTTTTTCATATATTTGTTGATTAATTGTATATCCTCTTCTGAGAGGTGTCTGTTTAGTTCCTTGGCCCATTTATTGATTGGTGCTGAGGATTGAACCCAGTGCCTCACATGGGCTAGGCAAGCGCTCTACCACTGAGCTACAATCCCAGCCCTGATTTACTTTTCAAAGAATCTGTTTAATGTTCAGCTTAGTAGAAAACTGTTGGAATCTTGCATCTGCTTCTTCATTCAGCCTTGTGATTACATGTCATGTAGCCTCTGGAACATTCCACTGTGCACTTGTAAGACAGTGGAAGTGAAAAGGGCAGATATTATCTTAGTATCATTGTGAAAATAGTTTTGAATTTACAGATTCCCCTTAAGGGGTTCCCTCAAAGGTCTTTGGATCACATTTTGAGAGCTGCTCTCTTAGAAGCTTTTTTTCCTCCATCATACCCACAATAGAGGCTGGTTGACCTGCTTGCTCTCTTTCTCCATAATCGTGGAACAGATAGTTACCATGTTGGCTGTTACCTGATAATTTTAATTTCAGTAAGGGATAGCAGCTATATTTCTTTGTTCTAGTAAATTTTGTATCCACATAGTAATCCTTTATGCTGATGTATGCTCTTTCCCAGGAACCAGCCATGAACTCACATACTTATCTGAACTGTTGATACATGAAGCTCACTGGGTTCTCAGAAATTGTTGCTTATGAACTGTAAACCTTTGTCTTGCAAAGCGATGGAGGACAGAAACCAGATTTTATCTTTGCATACTTGGTTAAGATATTACTGAAATAAGACAGAAGGAGTATTTATAGTTTATTGGAAGCATCACAAAAAAGTAACAAATGTCAAAGTGAATCTGAGAAGTGGTCCTGACAGGCCCCCCCCCCCCCCCCCCCCCCCCCCCATGAGAATTGTCAAGGGCTACAAAATACTTCTTAAGGTACTGAGCTGCTCCTTGGTTCTGTGGTTGCATTTCTCATGACTGCCACTAGGGGATGGTGGCATTTCCATACTGCCTTTCCAGGCCCATGATAGCTTCTGTACCCAAACAAAGCATTTGGAGGCAGAAGTAAAATTTATGACCTGTCTCACCAGTGCTGTTTAATTTTTTTTAACCAAACATATTGATTTATCTCTAGTAGTTTAACTTTTACTCTCATAAGTAAAATATTGTCTAAAAAGGAGCAAAGGTTAAAGAAATAACTTCTAGGGCTGGGGTTGTGGCTCAGTGGTAGAGCGCTTGCCTAGCGTGTGTGAGGCACTGGGTTCGAGCCTCAGCACCACATAAAAAAAAAATAAATTTATTGTGTTCATCTGCAACTAAAAAAAGAAAGAAAGAACTTCTAAGTGGAAGTTCCCTTGTCATTATCATAAACTCTTTATCTTAACAAATATGTCATTTAATAAACTCTTAATAATAAGTAATTAAGATTAGACCTTAAATATTTGCTCTTCAATCTCCCTTGAAAAAGCCCCTTTCTGTGTCATTTTTGGGGCACATGACTTTAAACTATTATTCTTAGAATGGGAACTTGCAGTCTATATATTCCTATCCAGTTCTTTTGTTTTATGGTCCTTTGTCCCTGCTGGTCTAGTAGCTAACTCCTAACTCAGATTAGATTTTATTGTTTTTGTCCAAAGGCCATTTCAAGACTTACAGAGCAAAGAGCAGGACTGCAGTGATTTTTAGACTACATTATAGATGTAGTAAAAAGTTCAGGGAGTAATGAAAACACCTAGCATTTTAGACAGTTTTTAAAGGAAGCCCAGTATACCACCAATTTAAAAAATTGTATAGCCAAAATAACTTTGATTCTTTTGAAGAAGACAATTGAAAAGAGGTTTAAAAGTTTTACACTTGTCTGTGTCAGATCCTAAACACTCTGTTCCTCTGGAATCGACCTTAAGTAAATACCTGTTGAATAAAGTGGCTACCAGAAACTTCCTGTATAGATCCAGACTCAAAGGGTAGAATTGCATAAAGGAAAAAGGGTAATAACCTCTGTTTAGGAGACTTACCACACTCCCTCAGTCTCTATTCTAATAAAGGTGCCTCCATTTCATCACCCTTCTTCCTAAGAGTGATATAGTGTTTTTCTTTGGAACATTTGAAAACCACCAAACCAAACTGGGTATGTTTTGAACAAACTATATAGCTTTCCCCAGAGGGGTACCTCTGAACACTTTACAGGAGAATGTGATTGCTTTTTATAATACTGACTTTAAAAGTTTAATGAGCTGGGTGCAGAGTTGCATGCCAGGTTCGTGGGAGGGTGAGTCAGGAGGATTTTTTCGAGTCTGTGAGTTCAAGACCAGCCTAGGCAACATAGTGGGACTCCATCTTAAAAAAAAAATTAGGATATTCTAAATAGCTTTAACTTCCCCTAATAGTCTCTGAATCAATGTTCCTCCTACAAGCATCCGTTAGACACCAGCTATGTGTTGACACCGTGCTAAATGCTAGATATAAGAATTAAAGCCAGTGGTAAGAAGGTAACTCAACTGCTCATTGATGTTGTCACTGGCTCTGAAACATCATTGAATCTGGTGAAGGCTGTCGGGCCTTGGGAGGAGAGCTGTGGCCTTTCTGTTCTTTATGAAGATTAATATTAAGAGGAAATAAGAGTCTTTGAAAATTAGCATGTCAAACCCAATGGTGTTCCATAGAAGGTCACTTATTTCACAAACCTACCTTTAGGGATGTGTCTTGCTTTCCTTTTCATCTCTTTCTGTAATCTTTCTCTTTCCTTTCCCTTGCCCATTCTGTTTTCTTACTGCTCTTTTTGTAATCCCCTTATTGAAACCCTTTTTTAATGGACATAATATAAAACTTAAGTTAATTCAATACATCTACTGACCTGAATAACATAACATGCCCTTCTACCCCCATTCTTCATTTTAAAATCAGTTTAACAGGACCATTCATGAACTGAATTTACTTCTATCAAGAAAAAAAAAATCCTGGGTATTTAATTATGCATTACTTATGCTACATAGTTTCCATAATTAAAAAAAATATTCTATTTTTGGTACAGGGATTGAACTCAAGGGCACTCCACCACTGAGCCACATTCCCAGCCCTATTTTGTATTTTATTTAGAGACAGGATCTTTCTGAGTTGCTTAGAGCCTCGATAAATTGCTGAGGCTGGCTTTGAGCTCGTGATCCTCTTGCCTCAGCTTCCTGACCCACTGGGATTGCAGGCATGTGCCACCTCGCCTGCACGTAGTTTCCATAATTTTTACTTCACCATTCTTGATTAGTCTTCAGTAATTTTCTTTCTGTGCTTTATTTGTCATGCTAATATAAAAGCAAATACAGTGTGTTCCAAAACCTTCAGGGAGTACCTGAAACTGACTGAATGGCACTGAACCCTATATCTATCTATCTATCTATCTATCTATCTATCTATCTATCTATCTAT